ACTGATCCAAAGCATCTATCTTTGCATTTCAATCTCAACGAGAGCTGCGCGTCGAAAAATCGGTGAGCAAGTAATTCGCGAAGGATGTATGTCAGCAGAATCTTTCAAAGCAACATCGCTCATACGAGAATGAAGTGTTGATGAGTGAATTCGATAATTCGATAATGGCAATAGGGTTTTATTTGACGAGCATCTCATTTTGTGTTCCTTCCTAAGATCTATCTGTAATTACAATTTTCATCGAAGTTAAATGTAGCCATTGATAAACGCTAATCATTTTTACTGTATTTGTTGAAATGCGAAAATCTTGCATGATCAAGGATGTCCCAAAGGTTTCAACCTCTCTCAGTAAATTGACGATTTCTATGAGAAAGTTGTACATAGCTAATTGATCGAAATATACACTTTTGCAAAGGAAGATTAAAGTTATCACCTAAGAAAAAGACACTTCGAAATGCCACAAAAAAATTTCAATGAATGATCTAAGTGGTGACTGCTTTTAACCTTTTTTGGAAAACTGCTAATTGCTTTTTTCCATTTTTCTTGAGCAAAATTTGTTCTTATATCAATGATTTTTTTTCGGCATCAAGTAACGAATTAAATTCCTATTAACTAAATTTTGTCGAATAATACATCAGAAATTCTCTATTAGCAATACAGTATCTATTAGACTGTGAAGTAAATACTGGTTTTTTTTGTAATACAGTGGTAAAAACCTTTGAAAAGATAAATCCAAGAAATTTGAATGTTAGAAAATATATTAGAAACAATAAACTTCATAAAATAATCAGCAAATGTGAGAATTATTATCCAATTAAAATTATAACTCTAATCAATATGCAATCAAGACCAGTAAAATAATCATAACATTGGACTATATTTCTGCCTTTCGAAGTGTCTTTTTTCAAATGTTAGCCCTAATATTTCTCTACAAAAATATATGTTTCGATCAATTAACTATCTATAGGTTTCTCGTACGAATCATCGATTCATTGGGAGGCGTCGAGACTTTTGGGACACATTTTATATATAATATTTTGACGCTTCAACAAATGCAGTAAAAATGATCAGCGTTTATCAATCACTATATGAACTTCGATGAAAATTGTAACTACAGATAGATCTTAGGAAGAAATACAAAATGAGAGATTCGTCAAATCAAAACGTATTACTATTGTCGCATTATCAAGTTCACAACGAATAAGAAGGTCACTCATCATAATTTCATTCTTATATGAGACATATTGACTTGAATAATACTGCTGACATACATTCTTCGCGAACTACTTGCTCACTAATTTTTCGACGCTCAACTCTTGCTGGGATGGTGATTGAAAGGGGGAATACTTTTGACGAGTTGAGTATTGGTACATTTTAATTACGCTATGTATTTTGATTTTCTTTAGGCTTTCTGATGTTCGATTATTGGTTGCTAGCGGTAATCACCATTGTAACGTTTCTCTATATCATTCGTTTTGGACGCAAGCGACACATTGTTACAATATCAGATGAAAAACGACCTTTTGGCAAATGGATTCCAGTCGATTTTAAAGCACCAACTCCGCCTGCCTATCCTAACTGGTCGATCGAAACCACGGAACCGTTGCGCTACCGTCCATTCAAGTACGGACCCGAATATTTTGTCACCATGGGTATTCGTCGTCTAGACTGGGACAATTGGATCGAACTTGACAATCAATGGTTACGCTTTCATAAGGAAAAACTTGCTCGTTTATGTGGAGAACGAGGTTCTCGCTTATGTATGACAGCTCCAGAAGCGTACGATGCCGCACTCGAGACCATGGAGTTAATTAGCGAATATTTAGTTTGTCGCTATCCTTCATTGTTCGAATTCGAATCGAGTACAACACAAAAACAAATTCGAATCAAAGCAACAGGAGAAATTTATCCAATTTACTCTGACAATCCTCTCAAATATGCAGCTTTTCTAATCCAAGATGATCTAGCACTGATGATTGAAGGAGCCGATGGTCAGTATTATCTTAAAGCGGGCGCTATTCCGCTTCCAGGTTTTTGGCGTCTAGAGGATAAATTCAACATGCCACTCGCTGAAATCCATACGTCTGGTAATGTGCCACAATTTCGAGAAAAGTTACAGCTGGGCATGGAACGATTCTTTCAGAAACTGACTCCTGAACGAGCAGTTGTTCGATACAACTATTCCATTCAAACAGACGGTGAACTGTCTTGGTCAAGTTCGATTGGATCTGAAGATACGTTTGGTCTCGGACGAAAAGATGCACGATTGAATCCTTCTATTGAAAGCCTACATTTTCGTAGTGAGAGGCAGGCACTTCGACGATTGCCACGTAGCGGAGCCATTCTTTTCACAGTTCGTACCTATTTTCTGCCAATCATCGATATTGCTCAAGAATCAGGTGTTCCCGGACGATTAGCCTCAGCCTTACGAAGCTGGCCTGATGAAATCGTACGTCATAAGGGAAGAAAAGTCTACGAAAACGTTCTTTTGAAATATCTCGACGAAAAGCACGCAGAGCAGTGTGCCAATGGTTTCGAATCAACTAATTTAAATGCATACCCATTTTAAGATACAGAAGGCAGATGAGTGAATCGATAACTAAAATAAAGAGATGACCTACCATGTGGGCCAGAATTATTGCGATATTTTTGTTTTATATATATATATATCAGTACAGCACAGCGTCATGGAGAAGCAGCTAGTGGGCCCGTCATTCTTCTTCCGTTTGGTGAAAAATTCTGGTCATGAGTTTGGTACAGAAAAAAAGGATAGGGTGTGGGTATTAGAGAAGATAATATTAACACCCACACTCACACCCGACCAATATTAAAAACCATATGTTAGTTGCTCATATGGCTAGTCAAAGCTTTATAAAATCTCTTCTCATGACAATGAACTAGTATCTGTAACACACGGTAAATATTTTACTTGCAACCATTAGATTTGCTTCTAATACGATGGGACCTAAACGTTAAGCTTTATTATGAAGCAAAAGCATGAATTATACAGAATACTTGTAATGCTTGTAAAAGAAACTTACTGAAAAAGATTCTTACTTCTCACTTTTTATCTTTCGTCTATCATTTTCCACTACTCATGAATATCGTCATCTTTGCACTACATATGGTGCATTGTTATTGACTCTTCTTACTTGGACGCTGATTACATTCATAATCCAATCTTTATAATTTCGAATACGCATATTTATTCTGATTTGCACATGAAAATAAGAATATTACCACTAGTTAGTGGAACGAAACCAATGAATCATAAGATTGTTGGTAATTTCACAATGACGATACTAATCGCAATATGTTCTTAAACTATTTATGAGGAACAAAGAGGTATATACCCATGTCAACCAATCTGGATTGTCGATTTCGTTTTTTTTCTTTCTCTAGGCTAATATTGATAATAAAAAATTGTTTCCTTTTCTTCTTCCTCCGTAATATTTTTACTTTGACTTTTACCTCAAGCTATTGCTCTGTCTGCCACGTGTTGTGGTAGTTTTATCGATAGAAACAACACATACAACATAAAAAGGAAGCAATAATGTTCTTCAGCTCTCATTTTTTTTTTGTTTCTCTTACTACCGTAAAGGTAAGTTTTTATGATAGTGAGTTGTTAATATTTCGTTTGCTGGAAAATAGACTTTCTTGTTTTTATTTTTATCTTAATCTATAAATAACAATATTATTCTTTCGTGTGAATTGAAGAAAGGGTATAGTTTACTTCTCAAAAGATGATAGAGAACCACACATTTTCCAGATCTTGACATGTAGAATACTTTTTTAAGCAGTGACCTTGAATTTTGCTTAGAATTCTTCAAATTGGTTCTGATGGTCTTGGTGATAAGTAGAGGTGTCATTTTTTTTGTTAATGTACACATAAATTAAATAAAAAGTTAATATAACTTGATATCTCTAGTGATAAGTCGTTATTTTCTTATAGATCATTCTCATCCACAGTTGTATCGGTTATGAGCTGATCTATAAAAAAAAAAGTTTAAAAAAAGGCATTTATAAGCGTTTGAATGTGCGGAGTTGTTTTGGGTGTGGGTGTGGGTGTG